TCTGCCGCCAGCGGTCGTTCGAGGTTTTCAGCCAAGTCCTTAGGCTCCGCAGTTGAAGCAGCAGCACCCGCGAGTGCGGTCAGGACGCAGACCGGGTCTGTGGTATCGGAGGCAGCGCCTTCGGCGCCCAACCCGGGGCCGGCGGCGCCGGCGGCGGGGAGCATGCCGGCGGCGCCACCGCCAGCAGCTTCAGCTCCGCCGACATCGCCGGCACCCGTGTTGCCGGTCCCACCATCGGTGCCGACACCCTCGCCGCCGGTCCAGCCGGCGGCGCCGACACCCCCGCTGCCGGCTGAGCCGGCACCCTCGCCACCTGCTCACCCAGCGGCACCGGCCCCGCCGGCCCCGCCTGCGCAATCGGCTCCGCCGGCAACTCCACCACCGGCTCCGCCAGCTGCCCCGGCGCCTCCGCCACAGGTTGCGCCGGCTCCACCTGTGCAGAGCCTGCCGGTTACCACTGCGCAGCCAGTAGGCCTACCTGCTGCCGCTACAGGGCAACATGGGGACGCAACTGCTGGAGGGAACTTTGCTGGATTCCCAACGCCAGCAGCAGGGACGTAGCTTGAGCCACCTAAAAATGTATTATTTGTTTCATATCATGTATAGAGTGCAAGGCTACATAAGGCCTGATGCGCACGGGGCTTTGTTCGGTTGTTGGCCTGGAACTCGGATCCAATTTCGCGAATGGAAGCTCCTGTTAATGTGATTCAGGTGCCTTTATTCATTTTTCTTGGCTTTAATGCATTACGCACTTTACTCTACATTATGACTGGTCTGAGTTGCTTAAAAGAGCCGTGACCGGCTTGTATATAATGAGGAGCACTTTTAAGACCCCAGCCCGCCTATCAACAGGGCGAGCTACTCCTGAGGCTGAGAACTCTGAAGCTACTGTAACTACTCCTAAGGGCCTCTTCAGGAATCTACGGAACAGCTTTCATGTCCGCCAGACCCTCACCCTCACCAGCATAAAACCAAGGACACAGCTCTCGATTGAGACAGCCACTGCACTAAAGAGGCGCCCATCTCCATTTCATGGCGACTCAGTCAAGGTGTGAAACCATCGGACACTACGGCTTATTCAACCATTGTCCGTAACCATTGTTGACGGAAACCGCGTCTAACGCTCAACGTTAGGTTTTCATTCGGGTTAAACCTGTTATGGAAGATGACTTGAAGCAGGGTGAGATCGTCTTGACTTGGAGTTGAGCCTTGGGCGTATGACAGCAGCTCAAAATTTTCGCTTGCAGGCCGAACCAAAGAGGCACTGGATGTTTGCGAGAAGGATGGAAAGCGTGGCATCGTTCTGCCAGCTGCCAACAGCAAGGAGAACTGGTAAGGTCTAGGAAGCTCAGCCTTCCATGTATGCTCAGCAGCCCTCAATTGCTTGCGCGTGTTCCCGGATCACAGGTTCTCTGACTTTGACGGGGTGCTTGATGGCGCTACTAACCAGGAGGTTTTTGACGGTAGGCCGGGTTGCTCTGCGGCGTCCAACCGTCCGCATAGGCGGGTGGTGCAAGAGGCCAATTGGATCCCCACAGACCGCCACCGCCACATTTCCCCAAAGCCCCATCTACCACCTCTCCACCTCTCCCCACACATCACTACAATCAGAGTCCATGTCTTTGTCCGCGCTTGTCTGTATGCTGTCCGCAGCCATCGGTGGGGACCTTCTGCGTCAGTTCCTCAGCGGCATCAATGTCTCCATCATGGCATACGGTCAAACTGGTTCTGGCAAGACCTACACCATGTTTGGATGCAGCGAACACGGCTCTCAGGTGCGGAACCTTGATCAGGGAGACCTCCGGCGGAATGTTGAGACCATGCACTGCGCCTTACATGCAGTTTGATACATTCACACTCCTCTTCCGTCATGTCCGGCTTACCTTTCCCCTGTAAATGTATCAAAGCAAGCAATATTCAGCTCAGCCAGAGAAACTGACTCTTTCTTACAGCCCTTGCCCCTCCCCTTCCCAACCGTAGCTTTCTACACTCGAACTCAATCACTGTTTTATGCTTTTGCCGCAGCCCGGCAGCAGCAAGGACATCATAGTCTCCACTGCCTCTGCCCCCGTTTTTACGTGCTAGCACTGACCTGCTGGCAATGCAGCTTATCCACGATCGGACACATCCAATCCATGCACACAGACACACACACTCTCTCTCTACACGAAGCTTGCTTCGGTGCAGTAATTCGTGCACCACCATCGGCATTTCCCTCATCGCGGCTTAGGTCATTAAAAAACGCACTTATCGACACACGCATGCATACAGGTGCAGGGGCTGCTGCACTTGGTGCTGCACCGCATCGAGGAGCAAATTGGCGCCCGGATGCCGCTGGCGCGGCTCAGCGTCTCCGTGTTCGAGGTCTATAATGATGAGCTCTTTGTGTTGCTCGACACGGCTGGCGCGGAGAAGCGGCCCATGAACAAGGGCATGGTGGAGTACAATCTGCATAGACCTAAGCAAGTCAATGATGGTGCGTGCGCATCAATGCGGACGGGAGGGTGTACGGAATGGGGCGGCATGGCGTGACGGGCCCAAAGAAGCGTGGGGAGGCGAGGGAGAGCTCGGCAGCAGCGGTGGCTGCCGATATGGAAGAAACCTCCTTGGAGAGCAGCTGGGAGGGCGTGGAAGGGGGGGAGAGCTGCAAGGCAAGGGGCGATAGCCGGGGAGGGAGGCTGGAAGCGGTAAGGATTGGTGTGCGACCTTGTATAAGGCAGGACTGGGTTCGTCGGCTGTGTTGCCCTTGGCTTCTTGCGTGCCGTCCTATTTCCTGTCCTATCCCAAATCCACTCCACTCTCCGCAGTGGGCGAGGTGGTGGGTCTGGTGTTGGACGCCTTGCAGCTGCGAGCCCGGGACTCCACGGTCCGAAACGCGACCAGCAGTCGCAGTCATGCGTTTGTAAAGCTGCGGCTGGAGCAGGCGGCCGTGTCACCCGACGAGCAAGGACTGGATTCGACGCTCTTCCTGGTGGATCTGGCGGGTAGGCAGTCTGAGATGGGCTTAGCGGTCTTATTAGCCTTGGACGGAAGGGGCATTGAATGGAACGCGTGACTTGGGCGTGGGTTTGGTTGTCTGTGCAGGGTGAGTCCGGCCGACCCCGGCCCAAAGTTTCAGTCCTTGCTTGTTTCCATTTGTTCCGTACCATGCACCCGCCGCACGGCCCCTCTCAAGGTTTCTTTTTTTCCCGTAAGACCTACTCGCATGGACAGTGCTGAGTTGCTGTGTTGGTGTCGTATGTGACTTGTCGCTGTGTGTATTGTCTCTGTCGCTGCAGGCAGTGAGAGCATGTCGAATGTATCGAGTACCTCCCAGCAGAATGAGACCATCCACATCAACAAGTCGCTGCAGGCGCTGGAGAGGGTGGTCAACAACCTGTCGAACTGCAGTATCCACGTGCCCTACCGGGACTCACTACTCACGCAGGTATGCTTTTGCCAGAATGAATGCTGCTACTGTTTACTGTTACTGTTACTGCCACCGTTGCTATTGATACCGGGGAGACGTCGTCATGGCTTGATGCTGCAGCAGCCGCGTTGCTGCCGCGGAAAGGGAGGAGGGGGAGCTGGGCCAGGAGAGAGTTTGAGAAGCAGGCGACGTTCAATAATAAACGGTTGCGGCCGGATAAGCGCATACTATGTTTCTATCAACTTCTCTCAGTGGACGCTTGTAAAAGGAGCGACGATGCTTAGCCTGCCCGACCCACCCACCCACCCACCCGGCTCAATGCCTGACATAAATCCCCCCGACATAAGCCAAACAGTGACACATCGTTCGCCGTCCTCTGTGGGAGGACTCTTTTCCATTGTCTCGTCATTTATGGTTTTCCCTTCCCACCTGTGCGCCTTTCGTTCACAGGTGCTCCAGGAGGGGCTGAATCCGCAAAAGGCCCGTGTGGCCCTGGTGGGCACTGTCAGCCGCTTCCTGGCGGATGTGCACGTTACCAAGAGCACCCTCATGTTTGCGCAGCGGGCTCGAAACATCCGCACATTTGCACAGGTCAACGTCGCCACGAAGCGGCCACAGCAGCTCTGCCCCGAGGAGATCTACAGCCAGCTACAAAACATGCAGGTGTGTGTGTGTGTGTGTTGAGGGGAACTAAAGGTGAACCAAAGGGTTGTCATCCCTTTGGGTTTTTCCCGAAGAAGACACCCAAATTTGCATGGCATGACACGGAGGATGGAGGCTGGGGTCGGGCAGGGCGAGGGCCGGAGAGGAGCACCGTTTGAGCTGCTGTAATCGTACTGCTGCTGCTGCTGCTCCTCTGTTGCTGTTGCTGTTTCCGCAATGGTGTAAGGTTCACTTCCCCGAACCATGAACCAATGAACCCAAAGGGTTGTCTGTCCCCTTTGTTCATCCCCTCCCCTACTCACCTACCCCCGCAGGGAAGCCTCCTCCCTGAAGCCTCCGCTCTGTCTACCGTATTAAACCCCACAGTGCCGCGGTTCCCTTTCTTAACTTCCGGGCCCCTGGTTTTTTATGTGTCTCGCTGCCCTCTCCACACGACCAGGCCATCAACAACAAGCTGCGCCAGCAGCTAGCCGACCTGGAGAGCAGCCAGGAGCGCCTCCAGGGCCGATCCTCACTGCACGTGGAGGCCATGAGGGCCGAGCTCACCCACCTGGTGGAGCTGCACAGCGAGCTGCAGCAGACCAGCGCCAGGCAGCAGCAGGAGGCCGAGGAGGCGCTGGAGATGGAGCGAGCCGCACACGGCGCCACGCGGATGCTGCTAGTAGAGGCGCAGCGCTGCAACGGGGAGCTGCATGGGGCCGTGGCTGCGGCGGAGGCGGAGGCGCGTACCTCGACACGCTTGGCGGGAGAACTGCAGTTTCGGCTGCATGAGTCGCAGTTGCAGGTGGTGCGGCTCAATGGAGAGCTGGCGGGGGCGCAGTCGCTGGCGAAGGAGGTCCAGGCGCAACACTTGGCGGCGCTGCAGCAACTGACGCAGACACGGGAGCAGGTACGTGTGTCCCCGCCGTATTTGGTTGGGGGATGTATTCATTGTTGTGTAATAAATAACACAGGTAAACACTCGGTCACTATGAAGATCACTCGGTCACTTTGGTGGATGGACGGAGGGCTGTGATATTGCGTTGCGGCAGCCAACCATCTCCATCTCCGTCCCCATCTCTCTTTTCCCATCTCCTCGCATCTCTTCGCACAGTCTAATTGCACAATTTTTCCTCTTCTTCCTCTGTCGGGTCAACTCATTCGGGGGCCTCATCCGGGTCTGCACTGCGTGCTTTCTCCAAACCAAAGCTCTTCAGTCGCCTCCAGTCGCCAATACTTGCCGTTATCCGCTTCTTGCATTTTCGCAGTAGCTATTAACCTATTCCCTTCCCATGCGGACCAACCCCTTTTTGACTTACACCCCGTAACGCACAACACGCCTACTCCTTCACGAACATGGTCCGTGCCGTATACACCGTCAGCTGACGGCGCTCAAGGGCCAGCTAGCAGCTGCGGAGGCTGGTGGCGACGAACTTCAACGCACCATAGCCCAGGTGCTATCTGAGGCACAGGATCAGGCCGCCACGCTACAGCTGCAAGCGCGGGAGCTACAGCAGCAGGTCAAGGCTACCCATGCGGACAAGACAGCACTTGCGCAAGAACTAGGGGAAACTAAACAGCAGCTGGATGAGGTGCTGCTGCTGCTGCAACAACAGCATGAGCAGTATCAGCAAGAGCTTCATGCTATGAAGGACGCGCAGGAGGCGATGGTAGCGGCTTTGCAGCAACAGCAGCACGACATGATGGCAGGGGAGGGCGCAATGTATATGAAGGAAGGGACAGCAGCGGCGGCGGTGGATATGGGCGTGGAGGCGAACTTGGAATGGGAGGGCAGTGACGGCACGCTTGCAATTGCGCATGAGTTGGAAACCGCGCAGGGCCAGCTGGAAGCCCGAACGAGTCAGCTTGGGGAGGTGGAGCAGCAGCTGGCAGCTGCACAGCAACAGCTGCTAGCTGCCGCGGCGGAGGCGGAGGAGCAGCTGGCAGCCGCACAGCAGCAAATGACGGCAGCTGCTGCCGAAGCCGAGGATCAGATGGCGGAGGCGCGTGCCGCCGCTGCCTCCGCCAGAGCTGAGGCTGCGTCCCTGCGCCAGCAGCTCGCCGAAGCAGCGGCGGCGCGCAGCGCCGCTGAGGTTGAGGCGGCGGCGCGACTCGTACCCCTCCAAACCGAATGCGAGCGATTGCGTGCTATGTGCGTATTATCGGAGCAGCAGCTGGAGAGATTACAGGCGGAGTGTGAGAGGCTGAGGGAAGAGGGTGGTGAGGCGCGGGAGGCCTTGTTGCGGCTGCAGGCGGAATGTGCGCGGCTGAGGGAGGCGGTAGGCCGGGCGGAGGCTGCGGAGCGGCAGGCAAAGCTGGAGGCGGTGCAGGTGGAGCGCGACGTGGGGCCGCGACCAGAGGCTATGAAGCAGCTTCAAGAGCGCGTGCGGCTGCTGGAGGCGGAGAAGAAGCGCTCCGAAACCGATCACAGGGGCCAGCTGGAGCTCAAGGACAAGCTGGTATGAAGAGGAATATGGTGTATGGGTACTGTACATTCTCCTAGTGAGAGAGGGCTGCCGAGGGCCCCATGCGACGAAGCCTACCTGCCCGGTCCCTGCACATGTAGCCCACAACACACTTCATCGCGCTCGCAATGGCTGACCTTTCCTTCCTTTTCCTTCTTCTTCTTCTTCTTCTTCTTAAATCTTGGTCCCAGAGGCCTAGGAGGGACCTCCTTGCATCTCCTGTATATTATTATGCTGTGACCTGCTGTACAGTAGAGAGGATGACTCGCGCTTCACTTACCTAGGACACGTTGCTCCGCGCTATCCGCGCTATCTCACTGTGACCGCCGCCGCCACGGACCGTGCCCTGCAGATTCGTCAGTTGGAGAACATGAACGCGCAGCTACAATCTGAGATGACTAAGCTGGGACATGATCCCGCCACCGCTAACTCCACAGGCGGAACAGGAGGCGACACACCGGCTGGCGGCCCTGTCGCTGCTGGCAGCAGCAGCCCCTTTGCCAACCACTATCATCAAGGCAGCCGCTCCGATTCAGGCGCCAGCCCTGCCCACGGTGGTTCGGCCGTAATCATGGATGACGGCCACAGCCATAGCCCCTGTCTTGCAGGTGCCGCCGCCTCAGCGCCACCCAGTCGGGCGCCTTCGAGTGCTGGCATCTTATTACTCAACCGCACTACCACCGGCAGTGCAGCGGCGCTCGCACGCAACAATTCACGCGCGCTAGCAACAGGCGCGCCTTTATCGTCATCGTCATCCTTGCCCATGGGCTCGTTGACGCCACCGCCGGCGCCTCGATGCGCATCAGTGAATGGCGCAGTGACGCCATCCTCCGCTGCTGCGAAGGCGGCGGCAGCAATGGCTGCAGCAGCAGTGGCTGTGACACCGCCGCCGGCGCCAGCACCTGCGCGGCCTATTAGTGGGGAGATGGATGTGCTGGATTTGGTAACGCCGGAGGGCGCTTTGCCGGGACCCCCAGAACCGCGGTTGACTCCGACCAGCTGTCCGCCAATGGATGATGGGGTGGTCATGGTGATGCGGGAGATAGGAGTACGGCGCCCAGATGAGCTCAAGCTGGCCACGAAAGCTGTGAGAAATCAGGTGGGTCGGGGAAGAATGGTGACTTACCACTTCGCATGGGGATATGGAGGTGGCGGTCGTGGCGGTTTCAGCTCTGTTCCAAGAAGCCAGAATCGTCCCCCGCTTTGCCAGCGGCTCATTCCAACCAAACAACTTTCCACCTTTTCCTTTTCACCCTTTCCATATCGCAGATGAACTTATGACCATAGGACTTACTACCGACCAGTTGGTGATTGATGGACTGAAGGGATGCTGCTCAGTTGGATGCTCTCGTTGTCGCATAATGACCAGTTAAGGTAGCCAATACTGCAGCTTTGCGGGCCGATTGGCAAATTGCAGAACGTCTAAAACGTTTACCTGACCATTTTTAACCTACAAGTGTTCGTCTCGTTGTTTCGTGGGACGGCACAAGCTGTGCACCTGTGAGCTGGACTTGTATATGGATGCAGGAAAGGACTGAAGATATTTTGACTCTTGTTGCGGGAAACGGCGAATTGTGGCGCCGACTGCAGGAAATGCAGCGGCAAGAGGGGTTGGGTACAAACTGTACAGTAAACGGAACGTCGTCACGGTTACAGCACAGCGCTGGAACACGCGGGCATGGGAAACGGACCCACACCCGGGGGTAACTTGGCACCATGGCATGCTTCATGTATATAGCCCCTCGACCTCTCCTATGTAGACATTTTGTCGGCATGAGGAAAATATTGACTACGCCACGAATATGACAGCACAGCGCGTTGCGGCCCGTTGTGGACACCTTCATGTTACAGTCCTGCCGCAGAGCCGCATAGTGATATATAATGGTGGCCGCATAGTGACAATGTCTACTCTGGGATGACGCTTTTGTAAACGATTACTCGAGTCTGCTCCCTCATAACCTCGTCCAAGGATCGCCAGAAGGGAAAGCGCACGTTTACTTCCCGCTAATTAGAGGTATCTACGGGCAAGGATTGGTGGAACTGACACGTTACATACATGATAGCTAGTGGTGAAAAACATCCCCCCTTCTCCGCACTTCCAATCCACACCACAGCAGCTCCTCACCAAATGCCCAACCCTGCCCAGCTCTTCCGTCTCCGCGTCATCCGCTCCTTATATCATCCACCATCCATGAAAGAGCCCCGCGGGAAGATAGATGTCCTGGTAAGCTGGTAGACATCTCCCACTGTGCTCCACACCGTGTCACACACACAGACAGACACACACACACACACACACACACAGAGGCAGACAGATATATAGTCGTCATTACCGCGTTTTCATGAGTTCGGGGAACAGCTCCTGCGGCACATCAATGCTGCCCAGCCGCTTCATGCGCCGTTTGCCCTCTTTTTGCCGGTCCAAAAGCTTGCGCTTCCGGGTCACGTCGCCACCGTAGCACTTGGCAGTCACGTTCTTACGAAGCGCCTTGAGCGTCTCACGCGCGATGATCTTGCCGTTGGCTGCAGCCTGGTGGAGTGGACAGCGGAGAGGCGGCACGTGGCGGGGGCCACACAGGCGGTTTAGGGATGCATGCCACATCGGGACGCGATAGGAACGGACTTGCCGAGTAGGTAAGGGTACAGGGAGCGTTCGCACTTGCCTACTTGCCTTCAATCTCTTCCGGTCAGCAGCACAGCCACAGCCTCACTTTCGTAGCTGACAATCACACACAGCCGCACATCTGAACAACAAAAACTCTGACGCAGCCCACACCAATTCTCTCTCATTCCCTTCACCTGCAACACCACCTCGAACTGTTGTCGGTCGAGCAGGTCCTTCATCTTCACCAGCAGCGCCCGCCCAATGTGCGGCGCGTCGTCCCGTGCCACCATACGCGCCAGAGCATCCACCGGCTTGCCGTGCGCCAGGATATCCAGTCGGACAAGGTCAGCTGGCCGGTAGGGACCCTCCTCGTAATCGAAGGACGCATAGCTGAATCGACAAAACGGGGCAAAACAGCAGTGGCGACGGCGCAGACGACATTTATCTCGTTATAGTACTGTTACTTATTTTGGGTGCCTAAAAATATAAGCAGATGTCAAGCTCAATAATATCTAGCGTCTACCACAAGAGAAATCGTCACCATCATCAGTATCAGTATCAGTATCAACAATCCAAACCCTCCCCAACCCAGCCCGCACAATACACATGCCCTCCGAGAAGCCAATCGCCCCCTGGGCCCCTCACCTCCACCCCCTCGCCACCCCTGCCCTTGGCACGCACCCCTGAGAGCGGCTCTTGACGAGGCTGTAAAAGTCACCCGCCAGCTCAGCTAATGGCAGCCGATATCGCAGCATGGACCGACCGCCTCCTAGGGAACTGTGCTCTAACTGCTCCCCGCGCCGCCCCGCGCAAAGCTCCATAAGCCGACCCACACAGCCATCGGGGCAGATGATGGTGGCCGTTACGGTGGGCTCCAGAATGCGGGCCACTCGCGTGTCGACTGGGTACTCCGATGCGCTCTCGAGTGTACGGCTGGATCCGTCCGGCATTTCCAAAACGTACGGCACCATGGGCGTGGTGGTTACGACACTGGCGCCGTACTCTTGTTGCAGACGTTGTGTGAAGATTTCCATGTGGAGCATGCCCAGGAAGCCGCAACGGAAGCCTGGTCCTAGGGCTTCGCTGTTCTCGCGCTTTACCACCACACTGCAAGGAGGAGGAGGAGGAGGAGGAAGGAGGAGGAGGAGGGGGGGAGGAGGAGAGGAAGGAGAGGAGGAGGAGTGGAGGAGGAGGAGGAAGGAGGAGGAGGAGGAGGAAGGAGGAGGAGGAGGAGAGGAGGAGGAGGAGTGGAAGGAGGAGGAGGAAAAAGGAAAAAGATTTCAACATTGAGGAGGGGAGGGGGAAAGGAAGAATCGACGGTAAGTAAGTTCCCGGGAAAATGATCGATGGTAGAGGATAAAAGGCGGTGGGATAGCAGGGCAACGAGAGAACATGCACATGGCGCAATTTTGGAAAAAAAGGGTCGCCAACCTGATAGGCATATCGCGGATGTTACATCCCATGGCGGCGGCAGTGACGGACGGCGCCGCGGTCCCCCTGCTCCCCGCCAAAAAAAAGCTGTAGCTCTCTCCCCTCTTTCCCCCCCACCTCCCCCCTCACCTCGCATCGTTGAGCAGCAGCTTGTCCATAGCGGTGGCCAGGGACTCGAACTCCTGACCATCACCGCCCAGAGGGAACAAACCCGCGAACACCTGCAGTAGCAGTAGCAGTAGCACCACGTGGCGATGTGTCCATCAAGGACAAGGGAGGGGGGAGGAGGGGAATATTCGTGTCCCATAATTACCAATACACTGGTAGGCAACCGCATCTGTACGACTCCTCCTTTTACCTCTTCTTCTACCCCTACTTCTACCTCTCCTACAACTCAGAAAGCCAGTCATGAGCCGTGTATGGCCGTGTGTACCAACCCCAGAGGACACCCTGGGGGGGAATTCCAGCTGTGAAGGCGCGTGAGGAGGTGGGGTCATGGGCGGGGAATGCCGCCGCCGCCGCCGAAACACACAGACACACACAGACGCACACGTGTATGTGACGTATGTGATGGACGTGAGAATCCCCAACCCCCAGCGGTTTATCCAATCACACCACATCACATCGCCTTGGAAGTGAGTGGACGTCAGTGGAAGATATGAAATGCAGCCCTTCTACCCCACCCCACATACCCGTAGTGCAACCACCACTGCCACACGACCACCACCACGACCACCACCCCCCCCCCCGGTGCCTACCATGGCTTTGGCGGGCCTGAACCCGGGCAACCGAGCAGGCGGTGACTGCCCCACCACCACTACCCCCTGGCCTCCACCTCCACCTCCACCTCCTCCGTGTTGCTGCTGTTGCGGTGGCGGTGTCACTGCGTACAGTGTGTCCCCCACCCTCGCCGCCTTGAGATCCTTGATGCCGCACAGCAGGTAGCCCACCTGGCCGGTGTGGAGCCGCCCCGTGGGGTGGCGCTCCGGGGCCTGGAGACCTACCTGGGGAGGGGGCAGGGGGGGGGGGAGGGGGGAGGGGGAGGAGGTGTGTTAGAGGATGGAAACGGGAAAGGGAACTGGCACGCAACCAAAACACACACAATCGCCTTTTCATGTCGTACATCGCAACTCTGCGTCCCACCCACCCACCCACCCACCCACCCACAAAACACCCACCCACCCACTCCAAAATCAGCCCCCGGCCTCCCGGCCATCCACGCACCTCCTGCACCTCGTACGCTGTCCCCGTAGACGCCATGGCCACCCGCATCCCCACCTCCACTCGCCCATCCACCACCTCCACCAACATCACCACCCCGCGATACTCGTCGTGGAAGGCGTCGAACAGCAGCATGCGGAGGGGGGCAGAGGGGTCACCACCGGGCGCCCGGATGCGCCTGCCGGCCGGGGGGGGGAGAGAGGTGGGGAAAGAGAGGTGGGGAAAGAGAGGTGGGGAAAGAGAGGTGGGGAAAGAGAGGTGGGGAAAGAGAGGTGGGGAAAGAGAGGTGGGGAAGGAGAGGTGGGGAAAGAGAGGTGGGGAAAGAGAGGTGGGGAAAGAGAGGTGGGGAAAGAGAGGTGGGGAAAGAGAGGTGGGGAAAGAGAGGTGGGGAAAGAGAGGTGGGGAAAGAGAGGTGGGGAAGGAGAGGTGGGGAAAGAGAGGTGGGGAAAGAGAGGTGGGGAAAGAGAGGTGGGGAAAGAGAGGTGGGCAAAGAGAGGTGGGGAAAGAGAGGTGGGGAAAGAGAGGTGGGGAAGGAGAGGTGGGGAAAGACGAACCACGTGAACGAGTGAAGCTGCTGCCAAGGAAAGAGTGTACCAGGAGTAGAACTGACCAAAAGGCGTTGTTGAAGGCGGAGGGGGAGGGAGAGGGGAGGCCCATGGAAAGAAGAAACGGGTGGTTGATTATCTTTCCGTTGCAGATCTCCTTCCCCCAACCGCCCAACCGCCACTCACTCTATCACTGCTGGCAACACCTCCTCCATGCCCTGCCCCGTCTTCGCGCTGGTGAACAGCACCCCCCCCGGGTCCAGATCGAAGGCGGTAGCCATTTGCTCCGCACAGCCCCGCGGGTCGGCGGCCGGCAAGTCGATCTTGTTCACCACAGGAATGAGGTCCATGCCCTGCATACAAACAGACAAACATCATATACATACATAAATACACACATACATACATACATACATACCCTTTTTAGTGCATAGCCAACTCCTAAGCAGTTCACACGCACACATTTCTGCAACACCAGCAGCAGCAGCAGCAGCAGCACAGCACACATACAAAAAAGCAAAAGTACACGCACTGGGCATCGTACACCCGCGACCGAACACCACCACCACCACCACCACCATCTCCTCCTCCTTCTCCTTCCCTCTAACAACCTGCTCAAACGCCAGGAAGAAGTTGGCAACCGTCTGCGCCTGAATGCCCTGCCCCGCATCCACCACCAGCAGCGCCCCCTGACACGCGGCCAGAGAGCGGGACACCTCGTAGCTGAAGTCCACGTGGCCTGAGGGGATCAGGGCCGGGGGGAGGGGGGGGACGGGGGGAGACATGAACCTGAGCGGGGAAGGAGGGGGGGGGAAGACGAACCACACACGATTGAAGCTGCTGCCAGGGCAAGATAGTAGCAACCGAAGGAACTGACCGAAAGGCGTCCGTGGCGACTGTGACGACTGTAACCTCGGGATGACGACTGTAACCTCGGAATGAAGAATTGACGTAGATGTTGGAAGTCCTACCTACCTAAGCCGCCAGAAATATTATAGCCAACCCGTAAACTAGTAGGTGAAGAAAAAGTAGTGAAGGTGGCGAGGAAAAATGCTGACGTAAAAGTGGCGTAAAGTTGCTGGCTAGGAGAGAAAGCTGCATAGCTGATACTGAAAGGCTGCCGGTATGCAAGTGTTCCTCCCAACCCCCCCAAAAAAAGGGAAGGAGGGGGGGGAGGGCAGTGTTTTTTTAAAGTAATATATTCCTTAAAAGGAATAAGCATAAGGCCATTTTGGCCTTTGGAAAAAAGGATTGAATTGAGGCCGACCCGTACATTTTCATTCCTCCAGCCAAAAACGTCCATTGCTGTCAGATTGCTCCGTAGTTGCAGAACTTAGTATTATCGATCATAGAATAGATATGAGGGGCCGTAAGAAGGTCAAGCCCGTGAGTCAATGCGGCATCGCAGAATGTATGACCGGTCCTCACATAGCCAAACACGCAAAAGGCAACGTACGACTCGAACGTCGAACAGACACCAAAACAGCAAGATAAGCCTGAAAATATTTCTGATAAAGGCGTTTGGGACGGCGGTGCTGTTGTTGTCGGTAATGCATCGGCAATGGTGTTGCTGCCAGCGGCGACCGATGACACGGGCGCCATTACCCCTGCCCTCCATGGCAGGTGGTATCAGCCTAAGCGCAAGCTGTCACCCAATCAGCTCGACAACAACGACAGTGAATGCACCCGAGCGCTCGCAGTGCCAAGCGGGACGAGGAGGTGGCTGGACAGCAGCAGCAGGGGCCGGTACATGATGAACCGGTAGAGTCCTAGTGTGCTGTGGTTTGCAGTGGCGGGTGACGGCGGGGTGATTTGCTATGCGGTTGCTTGCTTTGGGCCTTTGCTTGGTCGGATTTACTTATTGCTCACAAACAGTGCCAGAACTATCTATGCATGTGCATGAACATGAGTGCGCACATGAACGAAAACGCGCCAACTCAGTGCGTGCCTCTCTTGGGGTCTATGAGGGGAGTTGTAACTTATCGGGGGGGGTCTGGGGGGGGCGTAGCCCCCCCCAGCGCCCCACACTTACGGAATAAATTACGACGACCCTAATAGCAACTTTGTTACTTAGGTTGGAATAAATTGAGACTCGCCCTAAATAAAAAAAACCACTGGGGAAGGACGGTAAGACGAACCACCACGTGAACGAGTGAAGCTGATGCCTCCTTGGAGGATATAGACTCTGATACGGCAGAAGTAAGGAAGGGGATGGTGGGGGGAGAGAATGGGGAGTTGAGGGGAGAAGGGGGAGGAGGGGCGGACATACATACACATATGCACAGCCAAAAGACTCACCTGGCGTGTCGATAAGGTTGAGCAAGTACGGCAATCCTTTATGTTCGTACACAAGCGACACCGTCTGCGCCTTCACGGTGATGCCCCGCTCCCGCTCCACCTGAACATGACCCCCGTTGGCCGTTGACCGTTAGTGGTTATCGTTGACCGTTAATAGTGACAGGGCGCAGGGTCTTGTTAATGTTATATAAAGTCCGAAGTTAGGAGGATTTACGAAAACCGAATGTCGTATAATGTTTTATGACTTTTTTCCCCTGACATACATACATACATACATACATACATACATACATACATACATACATACATACATACATACATACATACATACATACATACATACATACATACAGCCAAACACACCTGCAACTTATCAAGATACTGCGCATTATGGGTGGTCCTTGCTCCCAATGCGCCGGTCATTTCCATGAGGCGATCAGCAATGGTGGATTTGCCTTTAAAAGGGTGGGGAGAGGGAGGAGGAGTTTGGTTTCGGAGGGACGGGGGAAACCGCATGATGATGCGAAAATCAGGGAGAGAAAGAGAAAAGCAAAGCAAATAACCAACTGCCGCCAACAACGCAGCCAAAATCATCGGGGGAGTGCGTGGAATACACGTTCGGAGGTGTACGGACAAACCCAAGTGGACGAATTGTCGTACGGACGTTATCATCCTAGCGTTTATTCCCGTGCCGTGCGACAGAAACCGTCTCCCCCCCAAGCCCCGGCGTTGTGACACCCCTCCCAGGACCCCCACTCCTCTCCCCTTTCCCCTGCTCCCAGAAATACAAAGGTACTTAAAAAGCCATGTACGGCATGTACATGCACGCGTGAATGCGCTGCAAGTGTACGGCACAAATATGCCGTACGTACAACGAGTACGACAAACATGTTTATGGTGGAAAAAAAGGTACACTCTTACCGTGGTCTACGTGCGCGATGATGGAGAAGTTGCGGATGCGGTCCGGGGTAAACGACGCCACGTCATGACCCCCCGCCACGAACCCCAACGGCGGCCTCCGAGATTGCTGCTGCTGCTGCTGCTGCTGCTGCTGCTGCGACGCCGACAGCGGCAATGAGGGATCTGAGCTCGGGGTGCCCTCGCTCTCCTGGGCGCCGGCCACCGAAGGCCACTGCTGCTGCTGCTGCTGCTGCTGCGATGTGGCGGCGCCGGCGCCGGCGGCTGCAGTGCTGGCGTAATGCCGTCCCGTCATGAGCGACGCCGCCGCAGCCGCCGCCGCCATCGCTGATGCAACGGAATGCCGACCGAGACTCCGCTGCCGCCCCTGCTGCCGCCCCTGCTGCCACCAAATGCCTATATAGCCCCTAACCCCTGCCTCTGCCGCTGCCTCTGCCGCTGCCGTGTTCGCTAGCACGTCCCCTCCGCGACCGCTACTGCTGGAGGCAGGGAGTGCTGACGTCGCCGCCGAGTACCGCCCGTACCACCCGGACCCAGGGCCGCACTCCGGGGCCCGGGAGACCTGGCCTGCGGGAACCCATTGGCTGCTATGGTGCTGGTGGTGGTGGTGGCGGTGGTGGTGGTGGTGGCGGTGGTGGTGGTGGTGGCGGTGGTGGTGGTGGTGGCGGTGGTGGTGGTGGTGGCGGTGGTGGTGGCGGTTTACAGCTGTTGGCCAATGGTGGTGGTGGTGCGGTGTCCCCGGCTGCGGCCCTCCCTTGACATGGCCGTGTGCTGGGGAGCTGGAGGAGGAGGTGGTGGTGGGAAGGTGGGATGGCAGTGGTAGCTTCCCTCCGTGTGCTGCTGCTGCTGCGGTGACGGTGGTGGTGGCTGTGAGGGCAGAAGCGCACCGTAGCGATGAAAGCTGTGTCGAGGCTGAGTTCAGAAGGGGCTGATGGAGGTGGCAAGCTTGCGGCTGTGGTGACGATGGTGTGTCTGTGTCCAGGAGGTTTAAAAGTGTGCGGCAGGGATGAGAAGGAAGACTCGAAGGGTTGTACTGGTGCTTGTGGTGACTGCGGGGTGATGGCAGGGAATGCGACTGGGTGCTGTTGGGGCTGGCGCTAGGGCGTTGTTCGGGGGAGTTGAGGTTTGCTGCTGCGCAAACTTGTAGACAAGATGCAGAGGCACTCTGCCAGGTACTGCGAGCTGTAATCCAAAAGGAGCTAGAGGAGGCATCTAAGGTGGCGTAGGCTGCCGCGGCGCGCAGGACCGCGGATGGGCAGGGTGCGCTCAGCATTGGCGTCCGCAGACGCCGTGTACAAGCCAAAGCTTATTACGTCATGAGCATGTAGAGGTATATTGAAACGAAATTTTACGGAAACGATGGAGATAGACTACAAGCTTCTGCTCCGAAACTTGCTGAGAATTCGTAATGCTGTGCGTCATCAATTCGACCATCTGACAAGGTTATGCACACCCTGGCAGCGCACTACACTTCATTATCAAACTTTATCATCGTATCGTAACGCGCTGTGGCTGCTGGTGGTGTCAACGACTATCTCGCGGCGGGGATGTCTCCACAGGAAGCTCGATCTGAGAACTTAACATATAATACAAGTTAACAAAACATAACCTGACCTTTGGTGACGTGAGCAAGCGTTGTGATTGCGCTTCTGTTTTTCGCTGACGCTTCTAGCAGGCGCAACGTTGGTGTCTGGGTCATGCGTTTCGCTTGCTAGTTCTGCAGCGCTTCATTACGTACTTTGCTGAGTCTCCTCTGGTCTAGCTGAAAACCGCTTCGGCAGTCTGCAAGGATGGAGGGCGCCAGGAAGCCTGTTGGCAGCGGCCAGGGAGTCAAGGCAGCATTTCATTTCACCTCAGCCCATAATGGCTTCTCGCGCCTTGAGGAGGAGACGCCGCTTGGTTCAGGTGCGGCCCTGTGTTGCCCATTTCTCTGGGAACCGCTGCCGTACCCTCATATATCGGAAAAGCTCTCCAGGCCATAACTCACCCTCATCACAAACATGCCCAATCCAGATCCCAATCAGATCCTTAGAAAACTCCTCTGATACACCCTGGGGTTACCCGCCTCGCCCTTGTCGCCATGTGTTTCTATCTACCTCCCCCTCGAAGTCCCTCCACCTAATGCATTTGGGTGCGATGTTTACACTGCATATTCCCCACCACATAACTGTTCTCTTCATTTTGTGCAAGAGCTTATCACTATTGCAATAAATGTTCTATCTAGCGTCTATCCAGCGATCAACGTGAAGCCCCATGTCCCCTTGTTACGTTTCTCTAAACCCCGCACGGAAAACACACGCACACGCCACGCCTCTCTCCCTCACCTCAATCCTTCCCCCCTCCCCCATTTCCCCCTCTCTCCCTCTCACCCTTCACTCCCTCGCTCGCTCGTAATTCGTCTTTCCCCCCCCCCTTCTTCTCTCTCCCCCCTCCCCCCTCCCCCGCAACTCCATTCAGGCGAGGGGGAGTTCCGCAAGCGTTGGGCCCCGGAGGAGTCGGCGGGCTTCCTGTCCCGGCTGCTGTTCATGTACTGCAACGGCCTTGTCCGCCGCGGCTACGAGCGCCCCCTGGAGCCCGAGGACCTGTGGGACGTGGCGGCACGTGACGAGGCGGCGCTGGTGTCGGCCAGGTTTCAGGCGGCCCTGGCGGCCACCGCCGACCCCGTGAAGCACCCGCAGGTGGGCGCCAGGGATGGGGGGAGGGGTTACACACAGGTATCAAGGAAAACAGCAGCCGACGACAAGAGGGGTGGCGGGCTGGAGGGAGCTGGGGGAGGGGGAGGGGATAGGGATTTTCAAGTGCGGGAGAGGGCGTATTTAACACTGCGGGTCAAACCTTTGTCCTGGAAGAGGTGTTTTTGGAAGGAACCCCTCCCGTACTATCACACGTAATAGAAAAACCCGCAACCCCCTTTTCCCTACATTCCAGGGCGTGGTTTGGAAAGCCATGCTCAAGGTCCACGGACGTAATTTCTTGTTCACGGCGGCCATCAAGCTCGTCCATGACATCATCATGTTCATGTCGCCGTACTTGCTGGAGCAGTTGCTACACCACATGGGGCGAGGGGGTAGTCGCGGCGGCTCGTTCGGCATCGCGGTGGCCATTTTGGTGGTGGCGGTGCTGGAGAACTTCACCGTGAACTGGTGGGTGGGTGGGCTTTGGGCTGTGAAGAGGGGGGAAGTAGTGGGGGGAAAAAGCAGGTCGCCGTGACTCGTACGGCAGTTGGTGGTCTGTCTGTACGTCAGAGCCGTCGTTCCATTGACTTTTGCTACGTGTAATTCCCCCCTCTCCACACACACACAGACGCACACACAGACACAAATATACATACAAATATACACACAGACATGACCCTCTTCTTCAATCTCCCGTCCCCCCTCTCTTCACAACCGCCGACTGGTTAGTTTCACTGCTTTCTTCACATCCGCCGCAGCAGTCTTCCCTTGGTATCAGCTTCACTTCTGTTCACGTGGTTTGTCTTCCCAACCCCCTTTCCCCCGACTTCCCCAACCACTGACAGACCTCACAATCAAAACACATTCATTCGCAACCACATCAATCTACCCATAAAAAACGCAGTCATGCTAGCGGCTCCGAAGCCCCGTGAACCTCCCAAAACCAACACCTCCTATTCTGTGGTCCTCATCCTATCCTAAGCACCTCCTCCTCCCCGTCCGGCCCCCCTCCCCTCCTTCCCCCTCCCGCCGTATCAGAGTCTATATCCTCCAAGGAGGCATCAGCTTCACTCGTTCACGTGGTGGTTCATCTTACCCCCCTTACCCCCGTTACCTCCGTTCCTCTGCCCTGTACTTCCAGGTACTTCCATATACTATTCCGTATGAGTCTCCATCTCAAGATTGCCCTCATCGATATGATCTACGACAAGTCGCTTCGGATCACCAGCGCCGTCAAGGCGGATATGGGTACGGGGGCCATCGTCAACTTGCAGTCCAACGACACAGCCAAGCTGTGGAGCTTGGTACTGTACCTGCACGTCATTTGGAACGGTG